TCTTCTTCTTCTTCTTCTTCTTCTTCTTCTCCTTCTTATTCTTCATCATCCTCAAGCTCGACATCCAGCTCAACATTAACAACATCAGCTCCGCTCCCAACCTTCTTACCTAGGACCACAACCACAACCACAACCACACCAACCTCACCACAACCGTCACGCAGCCCTCCGACCGCGCCGGCAGAATAACCGAAATAGCCGCCCGGTCCACCGAACTGAGGCAGAACATCATCAACCCGGTGCCCACCCTGACACTATCCTCCTGCTACCCCCGCCAATGCTACTCCAGTGCGATCGCCCCTCACAATCCTGCCACCGTACACCCAGCTGATCTGTCCGCTGGACTGGGAGACGTACAATCTCACCGAGACGTATCTCATCTGCTGTCCGAGGTATGTTCTTTCCCCTCCCGATCGAGCGATCCGTCGCATCGCTGAGTGGATGGATGCTTCTGCATAGCGCGTACGGAGTTTACCTACCCGACTACCGCGACGCGACGCGCCCGGGGCTGGGCGCCGTCTGCACGTCGAGCGTCTGGCCGAACGTGCTGATGGATACTACTCGCTACGATGCCGCGGGGAGGGTGACGGTGATTCCGACCTCGGCGGGGAAGGAGGGGACGTTGGTGTTTGCGACGGCGTTTGATGGGACGAGCGCTACGGTTGTGGGTGAGGCTTCGGCGACGGCGGGGGGAGTTTCTGGCTCGTTGGGTGGGGGGGGCTGCGGTTAGTGGTGGTGCTGCGGTCGGGGTGTCTACCCGTAAGAAGACTTCGGGGGCGTCGAGGGTGGTTATATCTTGGGGTCGTGGGGCTGGGTGGGGTTCGTACTTGTTTTCTCTGCTTTGTGTTTTGTGTTGGAGATAGTGGTGTTGTTGTAAGTGAGGGGTTCAGTTAGAGGTTTTATGTTCATTTCGTCCACATCCTTTGATTATGGTAGTGTGGCTGTTTGATGTCCTCACTCATGCTCGGGCCGAGTGTACTGTGCAGACTATCTGTGCTTGTACTGTACCCAATCCCAAGTGAAGGTAGTTTGTTCCTGACTGTGGAGTTGATCGTGGGTGGGCGATGAGTCACTGGACTGGAAGAAAGCAAAGGACTAAATGCTGACCTTTAAGGGACTCCGATGGTTTCCCCTGGGTTAAATCAAGCTAACTCATTCAGGGTCCTACACAATGTCTGGCTAAGCCCCTGATAAGCACTACCAAGCATCGGCTAAGCACTATTGAGTGCTAGGATGATGGCTGCATGTGCTGTGCTAGCTTGGCAGGCTCGCAGAGTGTCGGTCTCACCTGGCAGGGTTCGCGTTCGAACCCAATGGGTCAATGTCAAATGCATGAGTTGTGATTCGTGGGCTGTTTCTTCTTGTCTCACTTTCACTGAGTGATGACTGTTAATATCATTGAGCTCGCTCCACCCAGGGTGGCCTTTCAGGAACCTGCGGCGCTGCCCAGTGGTTACGCTTCCCGGAACGCTCCGAGCCAGCCAGCCAGCCAGCCAGCCAGCCGGCCAACTGCTGGTCGGTGCCTTGCATGATTCATCCCGCCTAGCCCCTGCGGCTGTGGTCTTGTGTTCTGTAACTTGATGAGGGGTGGCGTAGCTCTAACTCGGGCTGTTGCCACCGTGTTGCTGTCAAATGAGAATACTGCTCTCTGCAGGCATGAACACGAAGAATTGGATCTCGCGCACATCACAGTCTAGAATGCAACACCTAGATGCATGTCTCGCAGACATGATCTTTTCCTAGGTGCGGTTATAGCCTAGCTGAGTACGGGTCAATTATTCGAGCCCAGCGCAGCATACATGCATAATGTTCCCCCATCCACACATCTTACTCCTCGATCTCAACAACAAGCCCAGGAATCAACTCCACGCTCCCCGCCCTCTCTCCCTTCAACGCCAACCGAACCCCCCATTGCTCCGCATTCTCAGTCCCCACCAATTTGACCTTACGTCTCCCCCCGGCCTCTGAAGACGGAACATCCACCCCCCACAAACCCTCAGACCCGTCCCCGAAAACGGCAGTATAAACCTCACTCAACCTCTCCCTCTCTCGCGCAGGCACCACAACAGTCACCCCGGCCACCCCGGTCACGCCCGAAGGATGCCTCGTCAGGTCCTCCCCTTCCTGGTACGGAACCCGCCACGCTCTCGGCGTCCTATCCAAGCACCAAAACGGCAACCGACCCACCTCAACCTTCCCCGGGGCCTCATGCCCATCCCCCTCATCATCATAGACAGCAGAACTGATCTCCCACTCCAACCTCACCCCATCCCCCTCCCTCACCCTGCCCCCAGCCACAGGATCCATATACACAATCCCCGTCGCAGGCCGTGCAGCCTCCACCTGCCGCTGCACCGCCCCGAACTCCTCGGCCGAGGCGAGGGTGAGCGCCCAGTCGATCACGGTGTTCTCGGGCTGAGTGCCCCAGCGGTGTGATCGGCGCTTCTCGGGATCGATGTCGGCGACGAAGGCGATTAGCTCGAGGTAGACTCCGTCTTGCAACAAGATGAGCTTGTTGGTGGTCAGGCCGTCGGCGTGGGTGCCGCCTGGGGCGAGGTGGAAGGCTTCGGTGAGGCGGGAGGGGAGGGATTCGAGGGTGGCGTGCGAGACGAGGAGGACGATGTGGTCGAGGTGGGGTTGGGGGGGCATGCTGGGTGGTGGATTGTCTGGTGAGTGATTTTTGGGGTGTAGGATGGGATTGTTGGTGGTAGGTGAGTGAGGTTCATGAAGTTGATGAGGTTGATGATAAGTGGAGGTTGCGGTGGGGGAAAGAAGGTTGGGTGAGAGGTTTGTTTATGCGTGAGTTGCTGGTGCGGGGTTGCGGATTGCTCATCGGGGGGCGGAGGCACCTCATCTTATCTTCTGTGGTCATTCCATGGGCAGCCGGAGCCTTTTTTGTTTGGCCAATCGTGACATGACCTTTCTCGTTATACGAGTCCCAGTTTGTGATACAAATGCGACTGTAAAGCTCTCCATCGCATCCATTGGTTCGCTTTCGAATGTTTCCCTCTGGCTACTCCCGGGTGGATACAGACTGTGCCACAACCGGACGGCTTCCAGCACTGACATCTCAAATCGAGTCTGCTCCGTCGCTGGAAGGACCAACGCACAAGCACGAGCCCTGCTTGTTCTTGGTAGCCTGCCTTCATTCTTCCGGCCGGCTGTGAGTACTCTTCGGGCTTCAATCAAGTCCTCCATCTCAATTCGTATGTGGGTCTCCTTAGTGGGGAAAGCCCGGTTTCCACACAAATGTGACCAAAGGCGCGCATTATGTCTTTGCTTGCGACTACCGTGCTGTCATCCTGTCATCGCCAGCTTCCATCATGAACCGGGTCACGGTGAAAATCGTTGCATGGGGTCAGATCGCACGGGTCCAGAGAGGAATCGGTGGCTCAGGATCCTTCCACACCCGCGTAGCATGTAGGACCTGGCATCTCCGTGTGAGATTACCCAGTTCAAGCTGTGGAGCACATTTACTGCGGTAGACGCTAACGCAGCCGCCTCGCCTTGGAGCCACTGCTGCTTTCTTCCTCGGGCCCTCTTTTTGTGCCATTAATTCCTGAGGAAGCAATGCCTTTGGCGAGATATTGAGCCTTAGGAGCCACCAACTCAGCGGTAACACGGTCGGCAAAGGTGTCATACGGCTGGAATGCAATCTGTCTTGGTCGAATCACCGGACGCTCAATGCACGCTGTGGCAAGATTTGGACAAGTGAGCGCCTTGCGAAGCTCAGCGGTGATCTCAGCCTCGTACAAATGAATATGTTCGTGGTCCCTTGCGCCGGTCACGAGAAGCCGCGACTAGAAGCACGTGAGCTTAGGAAGGCAAGGGCTTTGTCTTGGGAAAGACAGACAGTGTAAGAAGTGATCTCTGGTTCTGGCGGCTGCACTTTGCGCTCTTGAAGTTGTGCAAGAACCAACAGCAGGCACACAATATAGGGGTCGTCAGTCCACTTCTGGGGGGTTATTTGAGCCAGTCGCTTCTTGGCAATCGCCGCGCCGATCCAGTTGATGCGTCCACGCGGATCTGGACACACCTCGAAGAGTCTCATGCGATCTCCGTTGACGTATCCATGATGCAGGTAACCGACCATTGAGGGTGCGCCTCGAAGCACATGCTCGTTGGCTCGTCCATGGCGATGCAGTACCGTGTACTGGGACCGATGAACTGGTTTGCCTGCAAACGAGAATCGGGGCCCTTTGCTGCTCCAGGCAGGTCTTTAGTCAGCCACTGCCGATGAGCTGGGGGTCGTGTTGCCGGATCAACGTATCTCTTACTGAGATCGAGCAAAGGCGCGTTCCTCGCCCACCAGAATGTCGACAAGGCAGTGATGTTTGACGTTGGGAATCGGTGATCGTGCAACTCGCTCAGCATTGCTCACTAGGTCTGCGCAGGTGTGTGGGGTGGCTCGGGTTTCGTCTTTCATCCCAGTGGATTCTATGCTGGTATTGTCCGCATCTTCAAATCTACATCCTAAGAGATTGAGATGGTGGGAGGTCCATGATAGCGGATTCACGAGCAGTTCACGATGGTTTTGCATGAAGTCGCTGAGTGATACTTGGGAGGTCACCATTGTGCCGACAGCCAGGGATGGGAACATGTGCAGATGATTGTTTGTCGGATGACCTGGGATTTACGGTATTGGGCCGATAGGGATACCCTTCACCGCTTGATCTGCCCGCAACTACTGACACCGCCTACTGGAGGCAAGATTTTGTACGGATTATTGAGTGCATGTGCTGGATATACCCATTTAGATTATACATACTTTGCAAGTGTGACCGTTTATCTGTTTTGCTCTCCTAGTCAGAAATTCACGGGTTTAGAGTTGAATATTACCTACTTTAGCCCACACCTTTTAGAAGATTTGGTCTCAGCAACATCTTGAGGCTTATTTCCTGGTGCTGCAGTGTTTTTGTTAGTAGGACTCAAGTTTCGCCGACGAAGTCTCTATAGATAAATTGCAAAGTTGGCAGGTCATTGAGCTTCAAAACCGAGAAGGCTGAATTCCTCTATCACCAGAGAAAGTGAACCTTCCTCCTCGAAAATCCAAGGATGATGCCCAACAGTACAGTACCAACTTCGATCGCTCAGAAATAATGAACCAAGTAATTCGGCATGTAAGCTCACCGAAGCATCCCACCGGCACCGAGCCGCAGAGCTGACTGAATAAACACAACAACTACCCATCGCAGCCAAGAAGCCAACCCCGCTGCATAATTTGCCTGACTTGACAGCGAAAGCCCTGAGACCTGGCTACCGTTCAGAAAAGGTCCACTTTCCCCCCCTGCCAGCCTGCAAACACGTCACAGGATGACCTTATCCGGGCTAAGCTGCGGGACCCTGGCAGAGAATTATCTTATCTGATCAACATGCAATTTGAATCCGGGGTTCTGATTAGTGGGCAGCCCCATTCACCCTGAGACATCCCACATTGCCAAGAGCCCGCCGCGGCCGGGCGAGGACCACCAGCACCGGTGCTTGAGGTGGGATGAGGTATAAATTCGAGGCCATAGAAGTCAAAAACGGTCTCCGCTGGGACCAATTCTTCCTCGCATATCCAATCTACGCAGATTTCGCACGTCAACCATAACACCGCACCATGCGTTTCTCCAACGACCTCGCTCTGCTCTCCCTGGCAGTCCTGCCTGCTTTCGCCAGTCCAGTTGACAACAACCAGGTATTGCCCCCTTACTCCTGTCCTGCTTCTGAGATATTCTCCTTGTATTAACAATTGCTTGTGGGGAATAGAGATTCTCAATCAGCAAGCGCTGCTGCATCCTCTGCGACAACCCCTACGCCCGCTGCGGCGCGAACGACAAGCGCGAGGCGGTCGAAACGGAGGAGGAGGCGCTCTTCGGCCCCGTCGCCAAGCGCTGCTGCGTCAACTGCGACGTCAACCGCTGCAAGCGCGACGAGGAGCCCGTGGCCTGGCCGGCGAAGCGCTGCTGCATCCTGTGCGATAACCCGTACGCGAGCTGTTTGACGAACGACAAGCGGGAGGCAGTGGAGACTTTGGAGGAGGCTGTTGAGGAGTACTAGGGGTGTCTACAAGTTGGTTTATTCCTTGTGACGAGAGATGTGGTGGGATGGATTAAACACTCCATATCGATATTTGCCGGGTGGTTGTGGAACAATTGAAGTTGGCATGTCAGATTCTAGGTCATGGTAGTCGAACCCTGAACACTAGACACGACTCTCTTACAAGAGTATACATGTATGCTATAGTAAAGTTCCTCTATTTAACACTATCTTGGAATCTCAAGCTATATCGAGGATCATTTGATCTATGATTACTTATCGTTAAGTTGTGTGATTAGTGAGTGGATAGCCAGGGAAGAAATACGGCACCTCTCTGGCGATTCAGCGGGGTATACCTCACCAGACCTACACTCCAAAGACTCAGTACATGCTCCTCTGTGCAGGACCATAGTCGACAATAGCCTTAGCTCAATGCTCACGAAGGTGCTCTTGAGCCCATCGGAGCTACAACACGCGGTGAGTTACCCCTGGCCTGCAAGGGCAGCTGCAAGGGATACATGCCACGACCAGCAACCAACCTAACAACGCACCTCGAATCTCATCCACACGTTCGACGATACGTAATCACGCATAGTAATTCACCGAGCAGACAAAACCCATCTCCCCTCCCAACCCACGACCTCCACCACAACACCACCCTACCACATCCCACTCCAACCCATCCCAGCTCAACCACCACCACCCATCGAACCCACAATGCATCTCACCCGCACCCAATGGCTCCAAGCCCTCACCCTCGCCCTACGTACATCCCATCCCCATCCTTTGCCCCTCCCAACCCCAACCCCATAACCCAAACTAACGTAAACAAAAAAAAGTCCCACCCCAACCCACCGCCAAAATCCTCACCACAGCCCCAGATCCCACCACCCCCTCCCTAACCTACAGCATCACCATCCCCAGCACCAACACCAGCACCAGCACCCTCAACCCCTCCGAAGATCCCCCAAGGGGGTCCGGACCAATCTACCTCCGCCTCACCGCCCCGACAACCATGCAGTGGATCTCCCTGGGCCAGGGGCCCGACATGGCCACCGCCAACATCTTCATCATGTACGCCGCCTCCGCCACGAGCGTCACGCTCTCCCCGCGGTCCGGGGGCCAGGGCCAGCCGCGGTATAATCCCGCGGCGAATGTTACGCTGCTCGAGGGGTCGGGGATTGTGGATGGGATGATGGTCGCGGAGGTGCGGTGTGAGGATTGTTGGGGGAGCTGGCCTGCTCTGCCTACTAGTGGTGGGGATGGGGTGGGGGAGGGGGGGGAGGTCAGGGATGGGGCTGCGATTGGGGCTGGGAATGCGACTGCTGCGGCTGCGACTGGGGCTACTGCTGGTGGTGGGTTCGTGATGGATCCGAACGGGAATGAGACGGCGTGGTTCTGGGCGTATCAGCTGGGTGCGCCGCTGAACAGTGATGATGTCGGGGCGGAGCTGGGGATGCATGATGTTAAGGGGGAGATGGTGTGGGATTTGAGGGAGGCGCGGTTTGAGGTTGGTGCTGAGGACGGGTTGGTGGAGGGGTTTGATCCTTTTGTTTGAGGGGGTGGGGATATCACTAGATGAGGTTGGGGTTCGGTGACATTGCACGAGTAAGGGCTTGGCACGGGTGGAGATCATATTGAGGTCATAAGCATGCAGAAAGAGGAATGTGGGATTGAAAAATGAGGTCGAAACCTGGGTACGCAAGCGAGATCTAAAAACTCATTATAAGCGAAACAGGAACTGCTTAACCCATTAGTATCCAAGAAATGCACAAGAAGCGTAGACTATAAACATGCCATGACCCGGATGCGACTGACCATCCACAACGCCATCCTTGGGAAGGCACCTGCAATTACTCCTGACCCTCCCCAAACTGCCGCGTCCACTCCTCCCTCCCCATCTTCTGCCCAAACACCCCCGTCATCCGATCGAACCGCCACCGATAAACCGGCCACACCAGCGAAGCCACCACCCCCATCACCCAATCCCTCACCGGCCGATCGCGCGGACTCGGCCCGCGCATATTATTCAACAGCAGCTCCGTCTCCCCGTCGACCGTGATGTACCCCTGGCCGGCGCGCAGCCCCCGCAGCGTCAACTCCGCCACTTTAGCCGCCGTCAACCCGCCCTTGTTGTCCGCCGACCCCTCCATCTCTTTCAACAGGTGGGGCTTGCGGATCTGCTCTTCATAGAACGCATCCGTGTAGATCGTGCCCGGGAAGCTGCAGTGCACGCGGATGTCCTGCTGCGCACGATACAATAACACCTCCGACCGCAGGGTGTCGGCCAGCGCGCGCGTGGCGGCTTTCGTCGGGGTGTAGGCGGCGTAGCCCGGGAAGCCGAGGAAGGCGGCCGTCGAGGCGGTGAAGATGAGGTGGCGTTTGGTTTGGCTGTTGGTGGGGGGCTCCTGCAGCCAGCGCCGGAGGCAGGCATGCGCGATGTATGCGGCGGCGAAGTAGTTCTGGTCCATGCAGGATTTGATCTCTTCGGGGGTGATGTTGGCGAAGAAGCCGACTTGGGCGGCGGTGCCGCCGGCGACGATGAAGAGGATGGATGGTGGGGTGGGCTGGGAGGCGATGAATTCTTGGACCTTTTGGGAAATGTAAGTGTGTATGAAGCAATGATGAGTAGGGCTGAGGCGGGCTTACCTGTTTCGGATCTGTCAGATCGACGGCGGCGGCGCTGATGACCTGATCCGGCGACTGCGTGTGGGAGAGCAGCTCTTTACGGGTCTCCTCGAGTGGGCCGGGGCTTCGGGCTAGGATGGTGACATGGGCGCCTGCATGCGGTGGGGCGCACGTTAGTGGCTGGCTTCGTGGGAGCTTGATCTGATGTCAATCTTCCGGAGAAAACATGCCTTGGGTGGTGAGTTGGATGGCGAGTTCGCGGCCTAGACCCTTTGATCCACCGGCGATGACGACGGTCTGCATGCATGTTAGACGGGGCTCGCTGTCACTGTGGGGGAGTGGGTGCCGACGGACCTGGCCTTGGACGTGAAAGTGCTTGCTTTGCGTCATGGTGTCACTTTTACACGCAGTCTGGGGATGTCTAGTGGACTGGGTGAAGAATGTACTGTACTATGGTTCAGTGCCGGAGGGTAAACAAGATATGATTCAGGGGTATTTTGCAGAACCATGGGATGATCGGGCTGGGATCTTCTGCATGACTAGTGCTTATCGCCCGGCGGAGTATCGTATTTCCGGCCTCAGCCTTGCTCGACGATCATTCCATATTCTACCCATTAGGAGTGAGGATCACGAGATGGATATCTGACATCGATATGACAGAATGATGCTCGTGGAATGCAAAAAAAAACTTGGTATGTCGGAATGTGCAGCCCTGTCAAACCCCTAGGCTTCTCATCCTGTGCCTGCGGCAATTGAACCCGGGAGCAGCATTATCGCGATCATCAATGATTAGCCGTGGCGGGCCGCGCCAGCGAAGAACCTGTGGGGCCACCGGGGGGTTTTGCCCTTGGTTCCATCTTGCCCTCTGGCTGGCCAGCTCTGGCGAACGCCTCCAGTGGGTCAGGAAGCTGCCGAAGTCGAATCGGAGATTGGAATCGTCGATAGCGTCGAATCTATGCCCTTTAGACTCATGCGTCATAGGACAGATTAGAAAATAGACTCTGATAGGGGAGTGGAAGCGAGGAAAAAGGAAAATAAGCGATGATCATGCTCGTTAGGCACGAGAATCTGCAGCTGTCCGCATGGATCCGCGGCAGCTGAACTGTGGGTCTGTGGTCGTGGCACCTGCCTTTGCTGTCTTGTCCGAGTAGATATATGAGCGTGGTTGTCTTCTGGAAGCGCAATTTGGTGAAAAATCGGGTCCACATATTTTGTGTGTGATTGACTGAAACGCAGGATGGCGTCGTCTCCCTTTATCATAACAGAGCACATCGTCGGGTGCCAGCATGTCCGCGAATACCCTCATGCGACGAGACACGGTGATGATGCGCTGCAGCTGGTGGTGAAGCGGTACACTCCCAAGTCGAACCCGGATCCCCAGCCGGGAGATGTCACAATCATTGGTGCGCATGCGAGTGGGATGCCCAAGGTCTGTGGCCTCTGACGTAGATACTGCGCTCATTAGCCTGGCAAGACACTAACCTCAAGAATAGGAGCTGTACGAACCACTATGGGAAGAGACCCTCGCGAAGCTCGAGCATCAGGATGTCCGGATTCGCTCTATCTGGGTCGCAGATACGGCAAGTCAGGCCGCCAGCGGGCTGGTGAACCGACAAAATCTAGGCAATGACCGTAAGCAGCGCCTCATAACGACAATCCTCCCCTATATTAACTCAAATACAGCATCCTGGTTCGATCACGCCCGAGACCTGCTGCATGTAATCAATACCTTCAAGGCCGAGATGCCGCGACCGATCATCGGCGTGGGACACAGTCTCGGCGCCGGACAACTGTAAGTTCCTCCCTCCCAACCCGAAATACCGAACAGCAATAACCGTCAACTCAGGATTTTATTATCCTTAATGCACCCCCGCCTCCTCACCTCCCTCATCCTCATCGACCCCGTGCTGGCCCCAGATGTTCTCACCGGCAAAGGCGCCGCCTTCGCCCGCGCCTCCCTCTCCGCCCCCGACAAGTGGGCCACCCGCGCCGCCGCCACGACATTTTTGAAGAAACAGTATCGCAAATGGAATCCGCGGGCGTTCGATCGCTTGCTGCAATACGGCCTAGTCGACACCCCTTCAGGAGTCAGTCTCACCACCTCGCGCCACCAGGAGGTGATACAGTACCTTCGTGCCAATTTCTCGGGCCGCAAGCCCTTAGATCCGGCGAATGAGTCAGAGGCGCATGATGCGGTGTTCCATGCGGATGTCATCGGTCCCGCGCACGCGATCGCCCCGTTTTATCGGTACGAGCCCATCCTGGCGTTCAGGCTGCTGAAGCATGTGCGACCGTCTGTGTTGTATGTCTTTGGTGAGAGGAGTCCGATTTCGACGCCAGAGATGCGGGCGGAGAAGGTGGAGCGGACGGGGCGGGGCATCGGGGGAAGTGGTGGGCGTTTGCGGGGGAGAGTGAGGGAGGTTGTTGTTCCGGTTGCCGGGCATCAGGTTCCGTTTGAGGATGTAGGTGGTGTGGCGGTTGCGATGGCGGAGTGGCTGGGGATGGAGGTTAGGAGGTGGAAGCTGGATGAGCAGAGGATACAGCGGGATTGGAAGGAACGGTCGGTGAAAGCAAGGGTGACTTTGTCTGAGGAGTGGGAGACTCGGCTGAAAGATTCTTTGAAGAGGAAGGACAAGACTTTCAGGGCGAAGCTATGAGATACCTTTCGATGATGAGGGAGGGAGAAGGGAGTAAATAGGAGCTGGCTTATAGAGTACTGTTGGATAGATCATGTCATCCTTAGCAAAAAGTCGGGAGTATAAAGGCGCTGACAAGGCTTGATTATGGCAATGTTGATATCATTCATTCACTCTGCGCAATTTAATTTTGACTGAAGGTGTGTTTCTCCCCCATAACTTCCTTTTCATCCTTCGAAGCCCCGTCCTTACATTTTGACACAGTCACCTCACTCCTTGCCTTCCGTACTTTAGTCTCTGGACTCATCACCAGAAGACTTTTCAACTCACTCGTTCCAACACACAGCAACCCTTCCCCAGAAAGCCCGTCCACGAGTGTTTGGCTTGCTCTGACGCCACCTTGGGTCTCTCCAGATTACCCCCCGAGCTCATTCTCATGGTCGCAGAAAGCCTCGACTCGGAAAAAGCGATCAACTCTCTGACTCGAATAAATCGTTTCTTCTACTCCCTGTTGAATCCCTTTCTCTACCGCTACCATGCCCGAAACGACGTTGAGCTCTCTGCTTTACAGCATGCAGCAAGACGGGACCTCCCAGGGGTGATTGAACACCTTGTCGATGCTGGTGTCAGTCTCCACAGTCGGGAAGCATGGTTTGGCTATTCGTTCTACAGAAGGTCTAAGTACGACCACCCGATTGTCTTGGCTGCAAATTCAAGCCACGCCAATGTCATGGAGACGCTGTTGGACAAAGAAGAACTGACTAGCGGGCTCACCGAAAGACACTTCTCTGATATACCGGAGGAGAGATGATCCACAGAATGAGTGGAGGTATTTACGCAGTCATGCTGCGGTACGCCATCTGGAACAACGCGGTAGGAGTGGTTTGCATGCTATTGTTTGGTAAGATGAGATATTTGTACAACAAGCGCGAGCCGAGATCCATCTTCCCCCGCGCGATCGCTGCAATCGGGGGCCATGCAGAGATTGTTGCGACGCTCCGGCAAGAGTCCACCGAGCGCGTCAACGCCCCGAACAGCTGGGACATACATAACCCCCTCGATGCGGGCGGTTACTACGAGAGACATATCATGAAAGAATTTGATAACACAAGTATGCAGTGCTCATGATCATTATCATCACTTGAAGACTGTACTGTAATCCATCCCCACCACCAACCCCCAAAACACCCCTAAGGAAACGGATCATACGCCCCCTCCCCCCAACAAGCGCCCTGCACCTCATCGCCCTTAACATCCACCTCCGCAACCCCCTGCGCCCCAAACCTCTTAATGAGCCCACCCCCCACGGCCTCGGCATCAAACGCAGCCCACCCCATCCCCTCCAATCCATGCAGCGGATCCCTCGTAAACGCCAACAAATAATCCTGCATCACCTGACTAGTCCGCAGCTCCTCCCCCGTCGTCTCATTGCCACGCACAATCCCAAACGTCCCAAAATTCATCGTCAAATCACTCGAATGATACGCCCCCATCCACCCGAGGGGACTCACATTACTAAAATTCCCCGCAAACTGATACCGATACGTCTTCAGCCCGGCGCGCTGCCGCACCACGCTCGTGTTCGCACTCACGCACAGCCAATCGCGCAGCGTCACCGCATCCACCCCCTCCTGCCACGGCCCCGCCGTCAGATTACTGCTGGGGAAAGGGTAGAGCGGGGCGGCCTCGTTCGCGCAGTTCGAGACGATGGCGGGGGTCTTGGCGATGAGTCCCTTGGCCGCGCGCGCCGGGTAATCGGCGAAGATGATCTTCTCGTCCGCGACGGGGGCGAAGGTCATGGTGGGGACGGTCTTGGCGTCGCCGTAGCGGCCGATGAAATTCTGGATCGTGTCGATGGGGACCTGGCGCATGCACTCGAGTTCCTTGTGCGGGTGGTCGGGGAAATCGCACCCGAGGTGTCGGGCCACGAAGGTGAAGTTCGAGTGGCTGGTGTCGACGCTGGGGGTGGTTTTGAGGGCGGTCCCGGACTGCGAGATGGTGGCGCGCGCCAGCAGGTCGGTGTGGAAGGCGTAGGTGTGGTAGTCGACGCTCATGGCGCCGGCGGATTGGCCCCAGAGCGTGATGGCCGACGGGTCGCCGCCGAACTCGCGGATGTGCGCGTGCACCCACTCCAGGGCGGCGCGCTGGTCGAGGATCCCCAGGTTCTGGTCTTCGAGGGCAGCGGCGTTGGGGAAGCCCATAATGTTGAGGCGGTAGTTGGTCGTCACCACGATGTGGTCTTGGGTGCGGTTGACCCAGGCGGCTGGCAGCTGGTAGGGGACGCGGATCCCGCCGGTGCGGAATTGGCCCCCGCTGTAGAAGACGAGCACGGGCAGGTTGGAGGCCGCGGTCGCGTTGGCGGGCGTCCAGATGGCCAGGTGCAGGCAGTCTTCGGCGCTGTGCTGGGCCATCGCCCCGGCGGTGGAGTTCTGGTCGGGCGCGTTGGAGATGAGGAAGTCCGGGACCAGGGTGCCGAAGACGGAGGGGCCCCGGTACACGTACTGCGAGCAGGCGGGCGGGAATTGCGTGGCATTGTGGTGTTGGTTGGAGGCCGGGAGCGGGTGAGGGGGCTGCCAGCGCCGGGAGCCTACGGGGGGTTGGGCGTAGGGGATGGCCCGGAATTCACGCACGGAGGGGTAGGAAGGGTTGTAGAGGCCGGTGTAACTGCCCGTGCTGGTGTGCACGGTCAATGCATCGTCACTGTGGTGGGAGGTTGCCGTCACGCTTTGCGCGGGTAGCAGCAGCAGCAGCAGCGATGCGGACAATAACGGGACTCTCATTTTTCACGGGTGAGAAGTAATTTGGTGGCTGCAGCTACTTCGAAGGTTCTCGGAGAGTGCAGGCGGCCCTGCATGAACGGTATCAGGCCTGGGTGCCACATTGTCAATATTTAATCAATGTCCGGGGTTAGGCCGGCCCTCCGCAATATACGGAGTCATTTCCCCCGGTTCCCCATGATTCGGTGACAGCTGCAGCTGGCACTCTCATTGCCGAACTTTCTGTCCGAGATGGATTCGGTGGCTTGTCGTCTGGAGTCGAAAGAGTTAGGGCGCAGTCGGCTGCACCTCGGGTGGTCGGATTTTCCGAGCAGCAGTGCAGCGTCCCTGAATCGATGTGACCCTTCGATAACGGGATCCTTTTATGAGGAGCTGCAAGACGGCCTGTCTCAGGCGAAGGCTTTCGTTTCCGCCTTGCACCGGTCTATAGGGAGGGTTGATTGGCTGTGTCGCTTTGTCACTGGGGAAGACATTATGATCGCTACGTATTGCATCACCTGCCGAGAATCTGATTAGGGTCCTCGGCATAATACAGTCCGGCACGTGGAGGAGCCGATAAGATAGTGAACGCCTTCCCTACTGTAGCTTAGTACTCAAATAAAACTAGAGCAACTCCATGCCTCAGACTGTGGGCAAAGGCTCTGTCTCTCGATAGTAGCGAGACTATCGATTCCACTACATGAGCCCGACGTCCAAGACAGGAATAGGACTACATATTCATGCTCCATCCGGAACTTCCTTCGTCCATCCGCCGAATGTTCCGCTAAGTCCTATAGGCATTGGAGTCGATCAACGTCAAAACAAGTAACGATCACCCGGTGATCTCATTCCCGTTGTTCTCGCAAGTTCTCCTCTGCCAAGCACTGGACCCAGCAAACGGAAACCCAAGCCGCCCAGCCGTCATGAACAGGGGTTGTCATTATCTGGACACCAGACCAGATCTCGTACAAAGCAAAGTCATGAGCACTCACTCACTATACGAACCAATCTCCACGATTAATTAGACCGGTGGACAATACTAAGTACAAGTAATAAAAAAAAGCGTTTGCCTACCGGCTCCGGAGGCCATCCGGCATATTCTCCGTCTTGGCCCCAGACCGTTCTTTTTCTTTGCAGAAACTCGGGATTTCCGAACGGCGCTAACGCAGGCTTGCAGCACGCCGTTTATTCCTATTCGGGCAAGGATCTGGTCATCCGCGGCCCGGTGTTTCCAGTGGTAGGAGTATGCCCTAAGACTATTTACTTCATACTGCATAGTGAAACGTGCATGCTGTCATCCAGGCTCTATGTCTTACTGCATTCCTTGGCAAGTGGGCATGGTGGTTCCCGGTGCAGCAGGTACCTCACAGCGGGTTGTGAGTACAGATTCGCAATGCTGATCTCTGCTGGCTATCTCGGTTTCTCGACGTACTCCACTGCCTGCGATCGTTGCAGCCATGTATAAATACCTGCCTTGATGCCGATCAAATGGGGTTTGTAGATTACCATCCTCTACTCTCCACTCATTTTTTAGAGAAACCTAGCCCACCATGCGGTTGCACGCCGGAGCCCTCCTACTCTCCAGTCTGAGCCAGGCGCTGGCCCGCCCAGCCAGTCGCGACACCTCGTCTCTGATCGTCGAGGACGCCCCCGATCACGTCCGCCCCTACGTGATCCGGCACTACTCCCACGCGCGGGCCGTGACCGTGGGCACGCAGCTGTACCGGTTCTACGTGACCGGCCCATCCTCGGGGTACGCCTTCACCCTGATGGGCACCAACGCGCCGCACAGCGACGCGCTGGGCGTGCTCCCACACATCCACCAGAAGCACTACGAGAACTTCTACTGCAACAAGGGCAGTTTCCAGCTGTGGGCGCAGAGCGGCAACGACACGCAACAGACGCGGCTGCTGTCCGCCGGGGACTACGGCAGCGTGCCGCGCAACGTGACGCATACATTCCAGATCCAGGACCCGGACACCGAGATGATGGGGGTGATTGTCCCTGGTGGGTTTGAGTGAGTCCATCCCCCGACCCCGCTTTGCCCCTCCCACCGCATAGCCTAACGAATACATTGAAGGGACCTATTCTACTACCTCGGCACCAACGCAACCGATACAACCCACACCCCGTACATCCCTTCGTCCAGCGACAGCTCCTCGACCACGGGCCCCGACTCCACGACCATCACAACCCTCGAAGCCTTCGACGTCTACGCCAAACTCGCCTTCACCCCGCGCTCCGACACCGTGAACGGCACCGCCCCCGCCAACACGGCCTGGCACAACGGCGCCAACGCCCTCGCCTCCACCGCCGGCGACCCCTACTTCGTCGCCAACGGCTGGGGCCCCAAGTACCTCAACTCGCAGTACGGGTACCAGATCGTCGCGCCCTTCGTCACGGCCACCCAGGCCCAGGATACCAACTACACCCTCTCCACGATCTCGATGAGCACCGTCCCGAGCACTGTGACGGTGCCGACGTGGTCGTTCCCGGGCGCCTGTGCGTTCCAGGTCCAGGAGGGACGGGTCGTGGTGCAGATCGGGGAGTATGCTGCTACGGAGCTGGGGAGTGGCGATGTCGCGTTCATCCCTGGGGGTGTGGAGTTTAAGTATCACAGTGAGGCGTATTTCAGTAAGGTGTTGTTTGTGAGTTCGGGAAGTGATGGGTTGGATCAGGTTTTGGTGGATGGCGGGGAGGAGTGGAGCTCGGTCAGCTTTCCGGCCGATTGGTAGGGTTTGTTTTTGGTTTTAGAGGCGGGGGGCGGCGGTTATAGATCTTATTGTATTATCTTCAGTCTTTTTTCTCGAGAAGTGTGGTAGCTATATATATATATATATATATATATATCGCTCTCTTTGCGTTAATAATGTGCGACGCACAACTAGGAGTTTTGGGGTTTGGAGGCTTGACGTGGACTAGTACTTGGGGGGCACAAACATGGCAAAACAGGGGGTCTAGAAAATATATCTCAATTCAGCATGACCAGCATGAAACATCTCGAAAGCATGTATGTCACATATCACCAGGCCATGAAAAGACCAGCTGCTTTGATGAACACCTAGTATGATATGCAATCGTCAGAACAGATGAGATTGAAGATAATAACATCCTGGTAAGACGTTGGTAAATCACTGATCGCTTTATGATGGACATCGCAGCATTAGACATCATACTGATCTAATGTTAGAACTTTGTTGCAAAAAGTTAAAAAACAACAGCAAGAAACATCCTCGATGGTCTAACGGTCATGATTTCCGCTTGTCAATCCCAGCTGGGAACAAGCGCGGGAGACCTGGGTTCGACTCCCAGTCGGGGAGATTCCTTTTTTTGTGATTTGCCGGCATAGTGCATCGTATTTATGCTGGCTCAGCAATGACACAAACATCAATTCTTTTTGTTCTCCGTAGTCGTTTCTGACCGAATAACAACACTAGCCAGGGCGAGGCCCGTCTACAGCCATGTAGATCACCTGCTTCTCAGTTTATGCTCGGGCTCGTCGCCAATCTCCTCCATCTTCGCCTCCAACAGCCGTGTCATCCTCCCCACCACCTCCCGATACTCCGGTTCATGATAGATATTAAACAGCTCCAAGGGATCCTCCAGACAATCAAACAGCTCCCACTCCTTATACTCCTCCCCACCGGGCCTGGCCCCCTCCACATCCAACGGCTCATTGTACCAGTAAATCAGCTTATACCGCTGATCGCGGACCCCATAATGGGCATACGCCTCATGGATGGCATCATTATGCATCCAATACCGATGGTACGCGACCTGCTGCCACCCGGCCGGCGGATTGCCCCGCAGCACCGCCCGAAAGCTCCTGCCCTGCATATAACTCGGCTGCGCCACGCGCGCGAAGTCCAGAAACGTCGGCGCGAAGTCGACGTTACAGACGATGTCCTCGCCGACCGAGCCCGGCGCGATCTCGCGCGGGTACCGCACCAAGAACGGCATCTGGAAGCTCTCCTCGTACATGAACCGCTTGTCGAACCAGCCGTGCTCCCCGAGGAAGAACCCCTGGTCCGAGGTGTACACCACGACCGTGTTCTCGGCCAGCCCGGGCTCGGCGTCCAGCGCATCAAGCAGCCGGCCCACGTTCTCGTCGACGCTGTGGATCGTGCGCAGGTACCGCTGCATGTACCGCTGGTACTTGAAGTCGGCTAGCTCGGCGGCCGTTTGGAACGTAAAGACCGTGCCGTCGTCGACGTCCACCAGCTTGAGGTTGCGGATCGCCTCCTCCGTCTCCGGGGCGGGCACCTTGCGCCGCCCGTCGAACATGCGCGCCCCGACCTGCCGCGCGCCGCCGTCGGGCTGCGCCAGCCCCAGATCGAAGTAGGTCATGTCCTCGGCGACGCGCATCTGGGCGGTCTGGGCGGCGCGGGCGCGGTGTTTGTACTCGTCCGAGTAGGTTGCGGGCACGCGGATGCGGTCGCGGTACAGGTGCTTGTGGCGCGGGTCGCACTCCCAGCTGCGGTGCGGGGCTTTGTGGTGGCACATGAGGAAGAACGGGCGCGCGCGGTCGCGGTTCCGGATGAAGGCGATGCTCTTGTCCGTGATCAGGTCCGTCGCGTACCCTTCCTCCGGGACGCCCGCGGCGGGCGTGTCGGGCCCGATGAACGTGGGGTCGAAGTACTCGCCCTGGCCCCGCAGGATGGACCAGTAGTCGAACCCCGTGGGCTCATGGGGGTTCCCCTCGCCCAGGTGCCATTTCCCCACCATCGCTGTCTGGTATCCGCCGCTGCTGCGCAGGTGCTTGGCCACGTTGGGCAGGTGTTTGTTGATCTTCGAGGCCAGTGTCAGCACCCCGTTGACGTGGTTGTACGTGCCCGTCAGGATCGCCGCGCGCGACGGCGTGCAGATGCTGTTGGTCACGTAGCAGTGGTTGAGGCGCATGCCTTCGTGCGCGAGCCGGTCCAGGTGCGGCGTGTGGTTGATGTTGGCCCCGTAGCAGGAGATGGCCTTCGAGGCGTGGTCGTCGGCCATGATGAAGACGATGTTCGGGGGTGGTGGGGGCTTTTGTCGGATCGTCATTTTGATGGCCGAGGTGTCAACTGCTACAGATGAGAAGGTCAGGTGGGAGTGACGGGACGAAGTATTATTGAATTGTAATGACTGCCAGGATGAGCTGGATTATTTGAGTGGTCAGTTCTCGGGACTACTCCGATGTCGGGTCGTGCCAGCCCGTGCTTTGCGCAGCGAAAACGTCTTATCTGCGCTTGAGACGTGTGCCCTTGAGTAACAGCATGCATGGCATGGTACTCTGATTGGGAATAGGCGGGATGAGCAGTGGGCTGAACCAACGATGTACGAGCAAGGGATCTGGGGTAATCCGGCTCCACTATGGCGTTATGGCGGCGGGTCTCTCATCCGACACGGGAACCATATCGGCCAACACCGTCTTGAATTGTTTCAGACAGTCCACTGAGCAGAAAATCAACTTTCGGATAATTGGGGCATAAAAGACATAGTTAGTGAAGAGAACCTGCCAGGCCATTGACTAGATATGGCAGCATTTGTGACAAATTCACCTATGAAAAGGACATAAACAAATCACTCAGAATTACAGGGTTCTCTGAAGCCACCTTGAATTGCAGAAATGTAATCAATTAACCACACAATAACCTGGAGTAGCACTGTCTTTCACACGAATTGAAAGATTCCCACCTAGAAATATACGCCAACGGCTATTTTTTGCATCGAAGTAGACAGGTGACCATATCAGAAGAGAAGGAGCTTAGATAGCTGAAACATAGCGCACAGGAGACTATAATCTGATAGTAAGAAGCTTAAATGGTCTAGCTCCTTGCAATGTCTTAACACTCTGAAAATTCAGATATTGCCTAATAAATAAACCATATCCATGGTAACTAGAACCAGCAACAATAAATCGCTGTACTGTACATTAGGTTACAATCGACCAAACCATCCTACAAACAAAATCATCTACACTACCTCCGCAGCCGGAAAAAAGCCCACCACAGCTCTACTGTGTACTGTACTCTGCAGCTGCACCATCCTGACACAGGGACTCCCAAACACGTATCTAAATCAGAAATCCCCTCCCAAAAGCCCTACTCACCTCCCTCCAACCTCCCCCTCCAGTACCGAATCCACCCCTAAATCTCCTCCGGCGGCTTCGTAACATGCGTCAACTTATCCCTACTCCGAAAATCAGCCAAGCACACCCAACCATCCTCAGACCCTTAACCACCCCCTCTCCAAATCCCCACAGCCACGATCCGGAAAGAAAGGGAAAAAAAACAAACCCATTCAACTTCTTCACCCACGCCCCAAACCCCGCATGGTCATAATCCTTCTCATTCCACATATCCTTATGATACACCACCTTCTCGCCATCACCACCGCCGGCGGACGGCTCCAGCCGCAGACTCACCAGACTGTCAACCACCTTGGACGCATGCAGACCGGCCACCGTGTACCGCTGGCGCTGCTTCCAGACCAGCTCGTCGTCGGACGAGGCCACCACCTCGGTGGCCAGCGTCTCCGACCGCGCGAACAGCCGCGGGATCCCGTACCACTGGCCCGCGATCTTGTGGCGCGTGTCGCAGTAGCTGAGCGGGTCGTCGTACACGGCTTGCTCGGCGTAGACCTGCATGTCGGCGGCGGCGGCGCTGCCGCCGTACAGATTCAGGATGTGGCGCTGGATGGCCTGGCGGGGTGGGGTCAGGGGCAGGGAGGCGGCCGGGTCCGGGGCGTAGGAGGGTTGGTGCGTGCTTGGGTCGAGGGGCGGGGTTGGGTGGGGTTCGACGGCGCGTTGCGCGGGGTGTGGGGTGGTTGTTGAGGGCATTTCGGCCGTATCGTTATTTGCCTGTGGAAATTGGGGCCGGGGGGATTGACTGAGATGGAAGGTAGGTATAGGGTTAGATGTGGGAGGAATGAGGGTTTGGTGGAGTTGCTGGCTGGCTTATGTATGGTATTTATGCTTTTGGCGGGAAGGGGGTGATGTCATGGTTGGATCAAGGGGTTGATTTAGTTCATGAAGTCATTCAAGGGCGGGAAGTCAGGCCGCCACATTTTGTGGCTCGCGTTCTTGCATGAGAGGGGTGTATTACAATATGACAGTTTTTGGTGCCGAGTTGCAGTTTGCATGTCGTGTGGTCTATATCTACGATGGACAGGATGGTGACTGCTGATGCGCGATAGGGCTCTGAGTTAGGGCAAGAATCCTCCGAGACAGGCCGCCGAGGGGGAGTTCAATACTGTACAGTACAATACCATCTTCACTCTTCTGCCTTAGTTTGTCCATTCCAACCTCCTTTGCTCAACAGCCATCCCCCATTCTGCAGCATCTGGAACACCGCGTCGGGATCATACTTGCGCGCCACCTCACCAAGCCGCCGCACATTTTCCGCGCCGTAACCAGCCAGTGGATCCTGATCGCGCGCCGCATAGTTGGAGTACTTGTACGGGAGATACACCCCGTGTTCCTTGGCCGCTGCTTCTGCTGCGTCCACGATCGAGCGGATTGCCTGTCGGACTCGGTCTTCATCTTGTGCATGCTTCCAGTCGGCTCGCGCCAGGAACCCTATCACCATGTTAGCCACGTCCGAAGGCAAAGGAGCCATAGGCGGCGAGAACAGGACGTACATTGCTGGCCCACCGGCTCCAAGCCCAGCGGACTGTTAGCGGAGATTTGCATCGCCAGCGAGGACATTGGCTGGAAGACTGTGGTCAGAGTCAGCCCCTCGACGTCCTTCAGCGCTTCTACATGCTCTGCGTGGGCTTTCTCGATCGCGCGATAGACCTCCAGGCACGGTCGGCTGGACATGGTGCGGAATTCGTGGCTATCCCCGGGGATCAGTATGTGCTGCTACATGGAAATTAAAAGAGCGTACAGGGTTGGTTCGGCCTCATTGACCGATGCGACAGCCTGCACGAGATCGTACACAGACCGCACCCCGGCGGGGACAAAGGTGGCGACGGAGGGGATATTGTAAAAAGGCTCGAAGACTGCAGGCCGTTCGATCGGGGCGCAGTAGACGTAGACAACGAGAATGAACTGGTCGGTCGCGTTCCAGATCAGAGTCGCCTTGTTGTCAGTCTCGATGGCTTGGTGGTATTGCATGAGGGCGTCCAGCAGTGGCTCGCTGGCGGTGGGCGGGTAGATCTGAACCTCCGCCCAGATCTGGTTGGGGATGGTTACCATGTCCATCCGAGTGACGATCCCTGGAATTCAGTCAGACGAGTTGATTTGAACCTTGAAGGCTCGAGTCACAAACCATAGTTGGGACCACCTCCTTTCAGTGCCCAGAAGAGATCGCTGTTTTCTTGCGCGTTGGCATTGACGATCCGGGAGTCGGCGAGAACGACCTGCCACCGGTCGGGTTAGGGTTGGGGGATGAGACAACGAGAAACATCAGATCCAGACCATACCTCGTAGTTGCACACGTTCATCGCGCCCATGCCATACTGACTGTTCTGGAATGATATCCCTCCTCCCAGCAACAAACCCGACACACCCACATCCGGGACGCGGCCGCCGGCCACAACCACACCGTGCGCTTCTAGACCCCGGTAGACGTCCAGCCACCGCAAGCCCACGCCGATCTTGGCAATGCTCTTGTCATCCGACAGTTCGATCTGGTTGAAGTTACTCAGTGAAATGACCACGCCGCCCTCGTTGCTGGTGAACCCGGGGATCTGCAGCCGGCCCCCACCGCGGATGGAGAACTTCACATGGAAGAATCGGCACAGAGCCAAAGCAGTCGCAACCTGTGGCGCCGATGACGGAGAGACGATCACTTGGGGCTGAAGCCAGCAATTGGTGGACCTGCGCTGATCGTTGAGTGCCCGATCGGGGGTCTGGTGGCTGATTGTCTGATGCGGTGCACATACCAAGGCATTCGACGCTGGGACTCGTACCCACTGGCCCCTGGAGCCACGCTGTGGCCGGAGAAGCATAGATCAAACGCTTGGGACACATAGGACCTCCTTTGCTGGTCTTTCTCGGCGTCAGGAAGGGCAGTGTACGCCGAGAGAACAGCCTCAAGCCGGCTGTGGCGCTCGACATCTAGCTGAGCAGCAGAGAGGATGGCAGCTGCGGTCGGAGTCATGGTGGCGGCGGCGGGAGAAACTCCGAGATGGGTGTTGAATTCTGCATGCAAAACGTGGGAACAGGGAGACGGAAGGAGTTTTAATCAAATCCAGAGTGTCTCGCCTTTCATGCCGAGGCGCCGTTTCCCATAGCCCCCTTGGCAAGTGGGGATTGTCACGGCACGACGTCGACGCTATCCCAGCCGGACCGTCGACGGACCGCAACTGAAACCCAATGCCGGCTCAATATGGACGGGAAGTTAAATGAAATGGGCGTTAGGGTCTCACCATTGACCCAGTAGGTCCCAGTATGACCCAGGATGACCCACTGTTGCGATTCCGCAAGCGATCCTTCAGGGCCTTTTGCAGGCTTGCACAAACCCCCTGCCCGCCCGCTCCCCCACGGTTCCCGCTCGGTCTTCTTCGTCTGTTTCTTTCCAACCGTGTGTCGCTGTGACTGACTCTCTGGATTCACAATTGCTGGTGAGCATGGAGAGGCTTCTGCACCCACGCAGTGATGGCAGCGGCACGTCGCATATGACCATTGCTGTGCGGGTTGTTGTGCTGGCTCTGGCGATTCCCACCACTTTGGTCTGCGTCTTGCGGGTTTGCTCTCCCTCTGCCTCTCCCCAGTTGACCCATCGCAGGACCCAGCCGGCTAAAGTGGTGACAGTTGTACCTGCGCAAGTTCGTGACCAAGCAATTTGGTCTGGATGACTGGCTCGTGCTCATCGCGCTGGTAAGTGGTGCAGAACACCGCCCGTGGCAACCTCATCAACCGACTGACATTGTCGACAAGATCGGGGTAGATTTGTTCTCAGCGCTGGCATACACGATCACGTACTACGGGCTGGGAGAGCCGCTGCAAAATGTCTCCGCCGACCAGCTCGTGGTCTTTCTCACCGTCGGTTGCCTTCGAATGAATTTGCGATCGTTACTAAAAACCAAACCAGCTCGAATATGCCTCGCAGTGCGCCTACCTCGTCATCGCCGCCGCCGTGAAAGCCAGTCTTCTCCTCTTCATCATGCGCCTGTTCCCCACCCGATTCGTCCACCTCGTCGGTCGCTGTCTGCTGGGCGTCATCGCCGCCTTCACCCTCTCCGGCACCCTGGCGCTGGTGTTCCAATGCCGGCCCGTGCAGGCGGCGTACGATAAAACCCTCACCCACGCCACCTGCTATACCCCGGAGACCTCCTACGCGATCCTCATGATGCAGGGCGTCGTAATGTTTGTGTTAGACGTGATCATCTTGATCCTGCCCATGAGGCCCATCTGGCAGTTGCAGATGCCCATGAAGAAGCGGCTGTTGGTGATTGGGCTGTTGTGCATTGGTGCGCCTTGCCCCTTTGCGGATCTTATACCCTGAGGCTAATTGATGGACGTGTAGGATTCACCGCATGTGTCGCGGCACTCGTGCGTTTCTCCACTCTCAAGTTCGCCAACGACACCACCAATTTTACCTGTAAGTGTCACACCCTCCCTTCCTCTGAGAAGACAGCTAACGTTTCAGACTCGGCATCCATGTCCCTGATCTGGATGGAAATCGAGTTCAACCTTGGCCTCATGTCCGGATCCTTATCCTCTCTGCGCAAGCTGTGGGGGCTCCGATCCCTGATTTCGAAAAGCCAGGACAGCCGGCACGGTGACTCGAGGCAGTCTGCGGCCTTCGACCTGGTTCCGCGGAGCTGGGGCCACCGCGGGATCACGAAGAAGACGGAGATTCTGAGGGTGGTGGAGTCGAATGGGAGTCAGGAGCCGATTGCTGCGTCGTAGGTTGCGCGGACCACAGAGGCACACAGTAGAGTACGTTCGCAGTTGGGAATGAGGAGTCGTTGGTTGTTTGAAGTCCAGTTGGTGTATTCGGTCCTTGCGCAAGGATTTGGACCTAGTTAATGATACCCGATGAACTGATCTATTCTTTTGTGTGCGGCGATCCCCCTTGAATGACCTCACGAGCAAGGGGTGGTTGATAACTGCACCTATGCTTAAATATCCTGGCTATGCAGGCTTCATCAACGACAGTACAATGAAGACGCGTCAATCAATACTTAGTAACATACCTTGGTGAGCCTGAGTGAGGCTTCACCTTTCTCATCGCAGCCCATGATTGGCATGCGCGGAACCGAAGCTCGGAGAACGGTCGGTCCTTGGCACCAAGGACATGTTCTGGTAATTTTCAGTCTGATTAAGGCAGTGAGTTTGCCAACACTAAGGGAGAAGAATCGAGCATGCAACCAGGGCGCGGCTCAAGCCGCCAGCTGGGAGTAGTCAGTACTATTATTGTAGGTAGCCATCGAAACGGTACACTACGGGCCGAACCCGCGCCCTACGGCAGCCCCCCTCCGGCCCCGGGCCGGTCGGCAACTGGAGGCTGCCCCTCTTTTGTTCTGCCTGGTCATTTTCTGAAGGTCCTCGCAGCAGAGTTTCCTTCCTTTCTCGATTCTAGACTGTGTGAGTCACGAAGGTGAGCTGCCCGAGCACAGGTTCCACTCCTGGGATCTTCGACAACTGGTGAGCCTCCGGGTCGCGGATTGTACCCAGCAGGCAATTCATACTTTGGCTATTGAAATGATCGCGTGCAGACTCGATGAAGGTCTACTCCGGAGGCCTGCATCAAGAGAGGGGCCAGCATTCATACATCTCAGCACCGAGTGAATGCTGCAGCTCCTCGAGGACTTTGTGATATCAATCGAGCAGAGGATGTCCGTTACGCTGGTGGTTCTTGCGCATTGCACGGTCCTGCTCAAGTGCATTAGCGCCGTGTGGTATCTGGACGGCTGGAGCAAGCATATCATACTGGGGATTGTGGGGGCCTTGGAACTCGAGTTTCACCCGTGGACTGAGTGGTCTTTGCTCTGCTTGGGTAGTCGGAAGACGTGAGAATCGTACAGCTGACGGGGTCGGTAGAGAGGGTCTAGCCTGCGGATAGAAGGATTGGTCTAATCAGGCGAAGTGCGATAAGGGAAATAAGCCTCAGGCCGGAATTGAAGTTGATTATCCTCGATATACATTCAGGGAAGATCAGATTCAGCGGCTGCAAGGCGGTCTACATGGTCCAATAGCGAACGTTGCTGGGGAGGCGAGCGAGGGTCTGGAACAACCGATCAAGTTATGGCAGGGCCTAATTGGACCTCCTCTAGGAGACTTCAATCGCAGTGAATTTAGAATCCCAAAGGATTCTTCTTCTATGACTTGGAAGATCAAAGGTTCTCACCAATCTCGGAATCATAAGCGGTGCGTTGAGGAACCATAACTCGTTTCCCATGGAGAAGGGACACAGGGGGTGGACATCCATGCTACTGCACGGAAACATAGCAGGGCCTGAGACCAAGAATGGACCCCGATATGTTGTGCTTGGATCATCTGAAATGATAATGAGCAAGGAGGTGGGAACAAAGACGCCATAGCTGAAGGCTGTAGCAAAAATGGCATCCAGATTGTGTCGCTAGGAGCTCAAGCGGGGTAATCGATGACTATGAGTTCCAGATGCCTTGTTCAAGAGGTCAAAGCGCAGACTACCTGGTAGGTACCTATGTTTAGCTGCTCAGCTGCAAGCACTACTAGGAACACGTCACAGATGGCGGCCAATGGCATATTGGGATAAATAAAGCTAACAAATAGACGCCGTGATACGATCGCCCCAAATATAGGTCGCTTAGGTAGCTGAGCCGCGATCCTTGCGGGGAACCACAAACAAGCAAAGCATTCAGTACTCAACCGATATCTCAATCCAGCATAATAGAACATACGGGGCTATTTGAACAATAAGTTTGGATTTCACACGTCAGGTGCTCGCTTTATTATTTCCTTCGGGAGGCAATCTTTCTATCGAGTACTCCGGGCGGAGTACTGGGTCTCCTATTCGGTAAGTTAGATTCATGCGACCGCTCAAATCCTCACACGCACTAACCCTCACTAGGTATGGGATGGTAGGTACTTTTGAAAGAGGCCAACCCACCCACAGCAATGACTTGTCCAGATCGACCAATGAAAAGATTCTTTTGGGCTATCAATCACCTGCAATAGCCCCAATACAGGTAAAGAGGGACCGATCATGGATCACGAGTGGATGACCGGAGGAAAAAGCAATGCTTCCCCCTCTCGCAAGCTTCCAAGGTTGTTTGCTTATATTGCCTCTTTTGCCGCGTGTCGGGCCGCAACACAGAACTCAACCACGGAGTAGTTCGCAGATAAGCACTATAGATGCAGTTCAGTAGGTAGTTGCGTAGCTCCGTCGCCTCGCTCTAAGACCGGACTCGAGTTGGGGGTGGATGAAACCCCGACTAAACGCTATCTCCTTGACTCGCGCGATCTTCGATCAAGGTCTCTCTGCCTCCATAATACAATGATTCACTCCACCTACGCACCTGCGGTGGAAGGCTCAGTACGACTTGGATTTCCCGTTTTCCAAGCAGACGCAAACCCAATACGCTTGACGCCACCACGACAGTCCTCAGATTTCGTTATGAGTGTCTTTGAAAAGGCCCCGGAAGAGGCCCCGGAAGAGGCCCCGGAAGAGGCCCCGGAAAAGGCCGAAGATGAGTACTGGAAGACGGGTAAGGATCAATAGTTCTCGATGTGGTCCGATGCACTTTAAGGGATAGTTACTGATAGGTACTGAGTGAACCCAGCGCCAGAACCCGCGACGCACTTTTCGTTCGGTGATCAGGGCTTGACGGCAACTGTGGGGGCTTACGGCTCCCTGCTTCGGATCTGCTGTCCCGTTCTGAGCTCGGGCGAGCAGAGCCCCGACCAGGTCAACCTAGACGAAAGGAACTCAGACGATAGCGAGCCAGAAGATGGTGATGAGTTAGACAAGCAGAACGCTGGTGGTCGTAGCTTGGATGAGGTCTTCCGATCGAAGATCCTGTGTCTCGAATACAGCGGCGAAGAAGCATGTTTTGTCTCAAGGCGAGCAAGCCGTCTTGCAAAGGACGCCGATGACGCCAACTGCGGATTCGGGCTGCGGTTGGACGGAAGCATTCAACCGGAGCTATCAACGCTGGACTTCGTCGACAATCGCTGGCGATCATCAAGTACAAGACAAAGCAAGGCTTCTCCATCACAGTACGGGCTTGGTGTCGGGATGGCATGGTTTTGCAGCAGATGTTGATTGATCGAGGCACCGACGGCCCGGATGCAGTAAAACTGAGTCTGGATATGAATTTTGTCATGCAAGATCTGGATTACATGCGGTTGGCACATAATATGAACATGTCATGTGTGAGGATCAATCAAGCGATTCTCAGGCCGAGAACTGCGTCATATTGAAAGCCCAGCGTCAAGGGAGTTCCAAACAGAGCCAGATTGGCGTGCTCGTGGGACTAATCAAGGACAATCAGAGTCATCCTATTGGAACCCCTGACAGACCAGAGCCGACAACAGAGCATGCTGATTCTGTATCTCAGTGCTCGGAAGGCAGCCCACAGCCCATTGCTTTGGAGCATGAATTCGTCGATCAGAAAGATAGTGTCACGTACACGGCAGCATTTAAATTGCAAGTAGCCTCATCTGGCGAATGGAGCTCACTGGCAATCTCAAAACTGCCTAAGGCGCCGTCACCTAGCTCGGATGGTCAACTAGGCGTAATTGATCCTTATAAGGATAGAGTCAATTGGCATTGCTGTCGCCATTTGGAGCACATTCTATCGGTGTGCAGCATCCCTCTTGATGGGACACCATTGAAGATCAACCATACAAGAACTACCGACGCCACGAAACGGGAGCTTGACCCCTCCGCCCCAGCTCCCCGAAATCGAGGTGTAGCGCTCACTTGTGGCAATTTCGGAGATCATAGAGTTAGCATATCAGGAAGTTAGTAAGTTCCCTCAAAACGTGCAGGACAAGCAGAGCTTGGTCGAACACGATGTCTGACTATATAAGCTTTGCATTCATGTTCATGTTAGAGATGTACAGACGTCTTCAAAAGCGTCTAGAGACCGCCGGTTTGTGCGAAAGAATCAAAGAGACATGCAAGGGTTACCTTGAGTGGGTCTTCAATCTGAAGCCTGAAGCAGCCTCTTCTGCTAATGTTAGGATCGATGGCGAAATTATCAAGGTGGGTTATAGCAGCACCAGGGTCCCGAATAACAATCCTACCCTCATGCCGTACCACATCATCAAAGCAACTGAGTATTTGAGGGTGTTTCATGACTTAGAAGACCTTGAATTTGTTTGCAAAGGATTGGGAAACTTGTGCCAGGAGTGGTTCCTACAGTTGAATCAGACAAAGAACAGACGGACGCCCACCTGGCAGCACTTCCAGGGCTCTGATGTTCCATACTATCGGCTAGGGGATCATGTGTGGGTATGGAAGGCTCTCAAAGGCATCGAGGAAGTATTGAATAGGCTAGAATCTCACCGTCAGCCATGTATAGAGAGAGTGCAGTCCTCGATGGTTTTTCGAAGCTGCGGGAGCGAATGTTCACCTTGATGGCCGAGAAGCGCGGGAGACGTCAATCAACCCCCGCAGAAGAGCGCGAGCGAAACATCCATTTCAGCTCAGATGATATAAGAAAGGAGAACATCAAGCGGTTCACCGTCCGAAACGAGGTCTTCAACAAACGCATGCTGAGTGTTACGCGCAGTGCCAACGAAACGCGGTTTCTGCTCCATTCGCGGGATACCGTACTGTACTACGGAGCCTTGTGGGATTCCTTCGAGGACCAAGAAGACCTGCTTCATGAGATGCTGGAAATTCAGACGAGACACGACGATAGCCTATGTGACGAGGTGGAGTGGACCAATCCCCTTCGGTATGGACTGGCTCTACTGTGGTCTCTTCAGGGGTATCGGCTGGCATGGGGAAAATCATCTGGCCAAATGGTGAATCGAGCGAAAAAATTTCTGCTGGCTTCGTCCTACCCAACTGGGCTATTTCCTGGTTATCTCGACGCCTTTAAAAAAGCATATATCTTCGAAACCGAGAATGATTATGACATTTACTTCCATACCGGATTCGAGATCGCATACATCCTCTTGAAATCTTTAGATCTCAATGAGAATAAGGTCTTGCCTGGGGAGAAAACGAAAGACCATGAGACTCTTGACTCTTTAACCGTTACCGCACAACAGTACGTCTATCGTGATTCAAGACCCTCAGGCGACCAAAGCTCTCATCTTCGAGCAGGCACACAGCTGGTGTCGGTCCCGATTACCCTCCGAAGATGGAACCCTTACGGGACATCTCTCGATGTGAATAAAATCGTGGATGTGGCAGACAAATGGCTTTTTAGGGACCCTGATTTCCTTGACTTTACTCCTCCCGATAGCAGGAAAGACAGGGAAGTTATTATAGGGGAAGCTTCGGAGGCCCTTGGCCTTGAGGGAGGCGATGAGTCAGCGATATGCGCAGACATAGGAAAAGTGGAATCAATTCATGCAGGTCTTTACGTTTGGGAAATGATATTACTAAAACTACCAAACAAAGAGGATCCATTGTTGATAGGAGCACAGGAACACAGCAAGAAACCATTGGGGTTCGTCCTTGATGTTCGCAAAGGCCGTAAAGAAAAGCTGGTCGACGCAAAAGTCTTGCGGCTTGGAATATGGGAAGATAACGTCTTTCTCATGAAAATCCATCTAGTGAAAAAACGACGATACAATGAAAGTAAGAAGCGAATGGTGTACATCACATCTCCCACGGGCGAGATGTCTGCCACCTGTTACCTCGCAACCCCTGAGCGTGACAGACCTAGCTTCGCGTCTTTTATCCAGAGACATCGCGAGATCACAACAAGCTTCTTTCATGATGATGTTGTGGTAGAGACCAACTCCTGGGTAACTGAATTTCATTGTCGCTTCTTCAGAGCAATTTCCAGGGGCACGAAGGTTTGGGACAGATTGCACGCACACAGACAGTCCAAAGGGGGCGGTGCTACCCCAGCCCACAGATACAGCCGGCAGTTAGCCTCGAAGCTGTGTCCACCCCTCGGAAACGGGTGTTTTCTGGTAGATGATGTCTTTAGTTTGATCATGGTGGGTGACTGGTATGACCGATACTGGACGTGTCATGTCCTGGCGACCTCAACGGCCAGTACCGGTCTAAGCAAGGAAGATTGGGGCCAAAAAAATCACAGCTTTACTCAAAGAAAGGTGCTTGAGCTGTCTTTACTAAACAAACTGTTGGTCGATTTCCACGAGAGCACCAAGGAGATTCTGCGCAGGGTTGAGCAAGACTCTCGACCCAGTGCATCGGAAATGAGGGAAGATCTATACTCGACCATGAGCTTCAAGAACAAAAAGCAAGAGCTATTGGATGAAACATTCCAGGTTCTACGCAGGGTGAAAGACAGTATCACCGGGGTCCGGACGTTGATAGACGACTGGAGACAGCGGGAGAGCTCCCAGGGGCGAGAAAGGCCCCGCTGGACCCGTTGCGATGAGCAGCAGCATGGCATGCTTATTCGAAAACAGACTAATGAGTTGGCCAAGCATGACCGCGAGGTCGACGCCTTGCTCTCCCATGTTGACTTCCTGATTGCCCTGGTGAACAATGAAATATCCCTCAACCAGGCGAGGGATGTTACTCGCTTCACCTACGCCACCGTCTTCTTTCTCCCGGTGGGGCTTGCAGTCAGTATCTTCAGCATGAGCGGGCCGCCGGACCATACAGCCATTCTCGGCATGATAATCACTGCAATCGTCGCCTTGGTGGTCACGGTGGCTTTCTTATGGCTTGTCATCCGAGTTCCAACACAAGTATACCCACAGAGTCAAGGCATTGGCTCGCCGGTGAAGGTTTTCCTGGCTAGAAAAGCGGGCGAGTTGGCCCACCTGCTTGGGGTGCAAGACACGAGCAAGCCAACCAATGCCAGTCAGGATCCAGTCGACGAAGCGGACACAGATGAGAAAGAGGCGGCTCAATCTAGCCACCGGAGCATGTTTCGTGGTATATATGATAAGATAGCTGGTTTCTCGGGTTTGAGACATCAACACGCTGTACAGGAGCGCGAGGGTGACGGCCAAGCTTAGCGAAAGGTTACCCATCGGTGTTGAAGAATGAAAGATCCCTTGCAATCGGATTTAGAGAATTCCTTCATAAAGCAATATTCCTGTCTGCGGCCTGCGGCCTTGATGTTCAGGCTGCGCACTTCACACCACACCATGCCGATATTTGTGTCCACATATAGCCTGATGTGGTCTGAAATGATCACTCATTAACGTCCTCCGGAAATTTGAATAGACTGCTGTAAAAAGAATCTTCATAGGGATGGAGTTCGTTCAGCTCTCCCGCCAGTTACTGGAATTCAACAAGAATAGGTCCATTGGGAGCACCGAGGTAACAGCCAGGAAAGAGAGATTTGGTGGGGACGCTCTGCATAGAAACAAAAAAGATCTAATAAATAGTAGTAGGGTAGTACCCGAGACAGCCGACAAAACAAGAAAAAGATATGACAAGAGTGGGATTCGAACCCACGCCATCAAACGATGATCAGGAAGCTATGGAAGCTGAATGCTAAGGTAACCTTAACCTGACGCCTTAGACCAACTCGGCCATCTTGCCCGTTGTTGTAGAGAGCTCTGATTGTGTGCTTTATGACCGGAAAACCGCAAGTGATTCGCAAAGCGCTTAAAACCTGGGTATATGTAGTATATTCACATTCACAGCCTATCACTGAATCAGCAGCCACTTTCCTCATGCCAAAAAAATCTTCTCTTTACATTTAGTGGTGATAGAAAGTTTGACATGCCGATTCTGTGTATTCAGAGCTGCTTTACATGCTGAGTGCCATTGATTGATTGATTGATTGAAGCCTTATCCCCGAATACCGTCCTCTACACGAGGCTCTTCCCGGGTCGCCGACGGCCAACCGGCGTGACTGCGCGCTATATACATGGTTCCTTCGCCCTTGGTTCCACCAGCTGAGTGCCATTATGTCTACTTTAAGTATCCTGTCTACAATTAACATGCAGAACGCATGTAAGATGCATAAGACAGAATTCCAGTCACATTACATAGGCTTCCTCAAGATACAATGATATCAGGCCCGCCACTTTTGCTCCCCCATCTACGAGGCTGCTTCTCTATGTGCAAAATCAACCCGAACCAACGGACACGATCCCTCTATGATCAATCCTCGGTGTGAACAATCCACCATGACCCAGCACCACCTCCTCAGGCCTTCTGCTTCCACAATCCCCGAATAGTCCCAGGCAAGAACCACTCCAGATACTTCCAAACCTTTCCTGGGGCATCAGCAGCAGCCGTCATTCCCAGTCCTCCCACAGAAGCGAGATAGTCGCTCGCGTATATTACCTCGTAGTCATTAGAGAAGCCGTTGAACTGTGTCGCGCTCACCACACTGTACGCTACATCCCGCAAACAAACTGCGTCAGCAGGGCCCCAGAAAACATCAACCAGGAAGAATAGAGAAAGAAAGAGGGAGCTCACCACCCATCTCCCGAAAAACCAGCCAATCCCCGACCTTGACCTCCCCCTCCATCACCACCTCCTTCGCCACACAGTCGATCCCATCGCACGTGGGCCCCCAGATCGAATACGGATGCGGCCCCATCGCGCGCTGCTCCAGTTTCCCATTCTCCTCGCCTCTCAGGGGAGTCGGGTCAGGTACGAAGACTTCATTCTCCAACAAGACCAACATAAAGCTGCCGTACACCCCGTCATTCAAATACAGCATGTCGGGGGTGAGGGACAGGTACGGCTGAGACTCGTCGAGCAACGGCTGCAGCTGCCGCCGCCGCGAGATCACCTTGCAGGCCATTGTGTAGAGGGTGCGGGCGAAGTAGCGACCCGGCTCGGCGATGACGCGCACGGCGGACGAGTCGGGGAAGGCTCCGTCGATCGCACGCGCGAGGGGGCCGGCCATCTCTTCGAAGTTGGTGTCTTGGAAGCCGCCGCCTACATCGAGGATGTCCATGGGTGGCAGGCCGAGGTGGGTTGCGAGATCGAACACGTGTCGGGCTTGGTGGACGGCTGTTGTGAATGCTGCCGGGTTACGGGCGCCGGAGCCTGTGGGTGTAAAGGGGGCTTGTTACTCAAGTTGACGCGGGGTATAACACAGGGTAGGTGAATGGATGGTGCGCGTATCTGCGCGCTTGTATATGTCTGCGCGTCTGTGTGTTCTGTGTACTGCGCACTTATATGCGCTTATTTGTTTGCCGGTGCACGCATGTGGGGGAGTTTTGAAAATCGCCCGGTATAGGCATATAGAAAAGATCTAAGAAAGAAAGAAGATATAACATACCAACATGAAAGCTCACCCCCCTCACACAAAGACCCAACTCCTTTGCCCGTCGCAGCAGCGGCTCGGCCGATGCCAGCGGCGCGCCGAACTTGTTGCCCAGCTGTGCGGCAGCGGTGTCGTCCTGTGCATAGATCCGGAGAAGCAGGTGCATATTTGGAGCGTGAGTCTTCATCTTATCGAGCTCATCGATATTGTCGAATGTGGTGAGGGAGATGCCCCGGGCAGCGGCCACGCGAATGGCGGAGATGGACTTGCATGGATGTGCGAAGATGATGCGGGAGGGGTCAACACCCAGGGACAGGACCAGCTCGATCTCCGTCTGAGAGGCGCAGTCAAATCCCAGGCCCAGATCGGCGAGAAACCGCAGGAATCGCACGTCCGGGTTGCATTTCACGGCTAGCGGGTCAATAACCCCTGGTCAGCCTATTCTGTTGCTGCGGTGGGAGGACTGTGTGGGTGCGTGATGGGGGTAATTTTATGAAGCAGGGGACGACACTGACCGTAGAAAGGCGCTATATTGGGTAGAGCGCGTCGCCAACGGTTGTAAAGCTTCAAGGCTGGCCCTGTGTCGGCGATGAAGAAAGGGCGATCACTCTGTGTGCTGTAGGGGTCTTTGTTGGTTTCTGTGATACGGTTGGCGATGAGGTGGTCGATGAGTTTCCCCGCGGAGGGGAGCTCGAGGAGGACCATTGTGGATGAAGTTAAGGGTGTGTGATGTGTATGTGTGATGGTTGATAGGGAAGTCACAGAGAGGGATCTGAAGCTCTATTTTATAACGGCTTGGGCAGGTGA